AGTACCTGAGACATGTCGTACATCTGTCGTTAACTGAGAAAAGTAGTCTAGGTGTCTAGTTTCCCACGGAGAACACTTGTCTGTTGCGCCATTGATTGCGTAGATCAATGGCTTGTGGTCAGTGAATACTGTAAAATTTCGACCTTCGAGATAATGACGGAAATGTCGGATACGTAGGTAGATTGCTAACAGTTCCCTACCGAAGGTGCTGTAACGCCATTCGGCAGGTTGTAAGCGTTTCGAGAAGAAACCTAGAGGTATCCAACGATGGTCGATGAGTTGTTGAATAACTGCACCGACAGCAGTGTCGGATGTGTCAGTCGTCAGAGAGAGTGGTGCAGATGTGTCTGGATGGGCGAGAAGCGCCATGTTGGAGATGGCGTCTTTGAGCTTCTCAACAGACAGTCTAGCGTCATCTGCAAAATGAAAAGACCGTTGTTTACCGCGGAGCAAGTCAGTCATTGGTTGAACAATGCTCGCGCAGTTAGGTATAAAGCGTCTATAATAGTTGATCAGGCCAACCAATCGGCGGAACTGTTTGAAGGAACTGGGAGCAGGATAGTCCTTCAGTGACTGGATTTTGTCTGGCAGAGCTTCAATACCAGAGGCGGATATGCGGTGGCCAAGAAAGTCGATGGAATTTTGGCCAAGCTCGCATTTATCGGGGTTGACAGTAACCCCATGCTGGGTTAAGCGTTGGAAGAGAGCGTCAAGGTGATGAAGATGTTCGTCATTAGAAGAGCTGGCGATAAGAATCTCATCTAGATAATGATAAACGCCTTCGAGTCCTCGCGTTACCTCATGAATGAAACGCTGAAAAGTTTGGGCAGCGTTGCTGAGGCCGAAAATCATTCTGAGGTACTCGAATAGGCCGAATGGTGTCATGACTGCTGTTTTAGCAATGTCGTCTGGCGCCACAGGTATCTGATGGTAAGCGCGAACTAAGTCGATTTTGTTGAAGATAGACATGCCAGCAAGAGCTGAGGTCAAGTCGTGCATGTGCGGAATAGGGAGTTTATCCGGCACGGTAACTTTGTTAAGTGCCCTGTAGTCACCACAGGGGCGCCAGTCACCGGATTTCTTCGGCACCATGTGTAATGGTGCTGCCAATGGACTTGTGGACGGGCGGATTATTCCCAGTTCGAGCATTTGCTCGAATTCCGCCTTATCAGCCTTGAGCTTGTCCGGGGCTAGTCTGCGAGGGCGGGCCGAAACAGGTGGGCCCTTAGTGCAAATATGATGCATGACGCTTGACGTCACCGGAGGCAAGTCGTTCAGGGCACGAACGACTTTAGGGTGCTTGCTGAAAACTTCTATAAAAGGCTGTGAAGCTTGAGGTAGGACACGAATGGGAGTGATAGCAGACATGTTGGCGCTAGCCCCGATAACACTGAGTTGTGTCCTAGAGTCGATAAGCTTCTTCCTTTTAGCATCGACGGTGAGGTCGAAGCGTTAAAGAAACTCTATGCCTACGATGGCGAAAGGCACGGCATCGATTATGCAAGGCCAGCGAAAGGATCGCCGGAGACCTAAATTGAGCTTTAACGGCTTTTCGCCGAAAGTTGCGATTGGTGTGTCATTGGCGGCACGCAGCTTGGTCGGCGTTAGTGAGACGAACTCATGTGGGCCACGGGTATAAAGCTAACTTCGGCTCCAGTGTCGACTAGAAACTCGGTGCCGGAAGTTAAATCCCTAACGCGGATGAGGCGACTTTGGCGTTGGCCGGTCGCGTCCGTCGCCGTTACGGACCGGTCGAGAAGTTTTCCCTGCTGCTCGGCGAAGCTGCAATGTTTGACACATTTACGAGCTGCGGTACCAAAGCGCTGATGGTACTAACAGATAGCATGTCTGTTGCTAGACATAGGACGTTTGCAGGGCGATTTTGAGTGGTTTTGATGACGACGGTTCATTGAAAGCTGTCGAACTTGGCGACTAGATGTCGCAACTTGTGTTTGCAGGGCTGCTATAGTTGAACGTAAGCCAGTGATAGAAGTGCCCTGGGACGTGACGGCATTCATCTTGCTGGCGTCGGCTTGTGGCTGTGATCGTTCAATAACTCGATCCGCTAAATCTGCTAATTGAGTGAGCGAAACGGAGCTCACTGTAGCGAGAATCGCTTGTCTGTTTTCCGGTAACCGCTGTAGCCATAGTTCGCGAAGTAATGTCTCATCCATGGTTGAGAAACCAAGGAGTTGCTGCATCACTCGTAGCAGGGTTCAGGGCAGTTTGTCGCCTAGCCGTAGATCCTTGAAAAGCTGCTGCAGGCGAACTTCCTCAGAGGGCATAACACGCTTAATCGTGGCCTCCTTGAGAACCTCATAGCGGTTATCGGTCTGAGAAATGATGACGTCACGAACCTGCATTGATATCTCCTTGTGGCGATAGGACAGAAGCTTGCAATACATCGCGTAGTCGGAAGTGATTCTGTGGTTGTAATACTAGCCTCATGAAGAGCAAACCACAAAAGAGGATCCATGTCCCAAAAAAGGTGGTACAGAGAGAGATATAACGCTTAGTAGAGACTCTACGTTATGGTCTACAGATTCCATAGGTTAAAAAATAATGACGCAATAAATAGGCTACCAAAAGCAAAAATAACCCGAAAAATATGCAAAATAAAAGGAACGAGCTCACCAGAGAAACGTTCCAAATATCCGGCGCTGAGGTTGATCCGGATTCGGGGTCACCAATTTAGAGGGTTGCCTGTACCGGGAGCCCAAAGAGCGATTTGAGAAGACGGATATAGTTGCAGGGAAACTTTTATTGGTCCAGTAAAAGATCCCCTGTTATCTAGCTATAAAAGAACGACACCGTGGACGCTCTAGCTAGGGGAACGGAGGATGCGCAGCACACAGGTCAGTTGCGAATTGCAACCGAAACGAGCGCCAAGCATAAAATGGCGATGAGCAAGTCAAGCATTCGAACCCAGCAATCAGTTCAACAAACCACACCGGTTGCCGAAGAGTAAAATGAAATAATTTTAGTTAGAATTTTACACAGGCAAACCGGGGAATCTCCAGACTGCCACAGAGTTCAAAACGTTAAAAGCGTTTGCTTCTCAGGGTGTATTTCCATTCCCTCTATTATTTCGCTATGGTACTGCTGACAAATCAGCTGCAATGCTTATATACAAATATATATATATGTGTGTATATGTATATACTATTACTTTGGGTTTACCCTGGATATGATTTTTGTGGATACAGCCGTCTGTCAGATATTTCGCCACTCTCTGGAAGCTGGACGACTCCCGGTTGCTTGGAAACTGGGGACCGTCAAACCTATATACAAGGGAGGGGATCGTCAAGATCCTGCAAACTATCGACCTATCTGCCTAACGTCTGTGCTGTGCAAGTGAATGGAAAGGATTCTCAAGCGCGCCCTGCAGCTTCACTTCGAGAATCTTAACATCATCTCCTGTGCCCAGCATGGCTTTCGGCGGGCACGCTCATGTACCTCGAACTTGCTTGTTGCTAGGGAAAACTGGGCGAAGTCGTTAGACGCTGGGAAACGGTTGGATGTGGTTTTCGTAGACTTCAGCAAGGCGTTTGACAAGGTCCCCCATGAAAGGCTCCTTCTTAAACTCCGAGGTACCGGTGTCTCTGGGAATGTCCTTTCCTGGATCGCTGATTTCTTGAATGGCCGGACCATGCGAGTCAAGGTGAATGAAGCCTACTCCACTCCTGTGCTGATGACTAGCGGTGTTCCGCAAGGGTCAGTACTTGGTCCAGAACTGTTCAAGATATTCATCAATGATCTCCCATCGGAGCTTCAGATGGATTGCCTGGTTTACGCCGATGATATGAAGCTGTGGATGGAGGTAACCTGTCTTGAGGATGCTGACAGATTGCAGGCAGCATTGGACAATCTACACGACTGGTCAGTCAACTGGCAATTGCCCATAAATTGTGAAAAATGCTCAGTTCTCCCTATAGGCGCCCTCGAACCGTTCGGGATATACCATATTGGTGGGGTGTTACTCAGAACCACCATTCTTGAAAAAGATCTCGGTGTGCTTGTCTCACATGATTTACGGACCTCAGAAGACACACTACGGAGGGTTGCCTCTGCCACCAGGATGTCCCATGCCATTCGGAGAGCCTTTTCGAGACTGACTCCGGAAATTTTCAGAATCCTGTTTACTTCTCATGTGCGCCCGATCCTTGAATACGGACTACCCGCCATCTGTCCTCTTACCAGGTTCGAGTGTAACATGATTGAGAAGGTACAGCGGCGTGCCTCGAAATCCATACTGGAGTTAAGGGACTTGCCTTACCCTCATCGACTACAGCGGATGCACCTGTTCTCCCTGGAAAATCGCCGACGTAGAGGTGATCTAATTTTTACTAGGCGAATTCTGATGGGGGAAATGGGGACGGAGCTACAAGCGTTCTTTCAAGTCAACACTAATAGTTCCACTCGGGGGCACAACTGGAAACTATATAAACCCAGAAGACTCAGAGTTCGCTCCACTTTCGCTCTATCAACCCGCATTGTCAATGAATGGAACGACTTGCCGAAACATGTGGTCGACGCACAGTCGGAGGAATGTTTCAAGCGATTTTTGGATTCTCACTTGATGAGTAAGCTGGGACCCTGCTTTTTCCAATGTAGCTGTTACGGCCCCTTGTGGAATACCGTCTCGTAGCGACTCACGGCATCCACGCAATGATCGGGAAGTGAAGGAGCTGACAAAGGACTTTCCTTCTGCTCTCTACAATCCAATGATCCAATGATCCAATGAAGCGAAAGCCACATAAGGCCCCTCGGTATTCGCAACGTAGTGTGTTAGGCTACAGTGATAGGGAACTCCGAATCCGGATGTCGTCAACCAAAATTGTAGCAGAGTTTAAAGCGCGGTAGCACCCCTCCAATCAATAAGTAGTGTTAGCGACGTAAGAAGTACAACATACTTATAATTTATATAAAGATGTCATCTGATTATTTTGTATAACCTAAAAAGAAACTAGTGTGTTACTTTTACCATGCTCGTTGTTATTCCGAACCCTAGGTCATCTTATTCACGATTACAAAGTGCGGTTTAGTAACCGCGCTGAGTATTGATTTGTGCTGCTAGTAGCCGATGCGTAGCCGGTCCGCGGGTGTCACGGTAACACCTTGACATGTAAGAGGTCGATCGGTTTTGCTTCCTGTTATCATTACCCTCATATTCCTCTCCGGCACTCTTCCTTTCCTCTTCCGTGCTTCCTTAGCTGCTTCCTTTACATCGGCCTCTTACTACGCGGCTCGAGCGTACAGCCGTCTACGAGGTACTTATTTTGCATTGCAGCTTGTCACACTACTTGGACACGGAAGAGCTCAGAACGCCGGACCGGAGGAATATTACAGATGGAAAGGTAAAAGATATCGCTTTGATCAGTGACCAATGTAGACGACTTCATTCAATCCGGTCACTTCGAAGGTATCCTGTGGCATGCCTTCTTAACAGTTCAAGTCTAGACTTATTAAATAGCAGAAGAAATGAGAAAGATACGTTTAATGACCTTGCATCTGACGAAGTATTGTTAAGATAATGACATATTGACGCCAAGATTAAATCACTATGTGCACCATTTTACTTAGAACAGAGCAGCTTAGAGAAATTTATGAATTTGATGCATGAGCAAGTTGAAATCGGATTGCAAGACGAAGAAGTAACACACGATTTAAAACTTCTAAATACTTTTGTTAATGAAATACCAAAAAGAAAAAGTAACGAGTATACTACATTTACGTTTCTGCTTAAATAGTATCGGGTGATTATCTGTGTTTGGACTTCAAGGGAAGATATTATCGGATGGTACTCATCCGAATGTCAAAAGATATAGACAAAACTGGAATCGATGAAACCCTTTACACAATTCCCAAAAAGGTTCGCCTACAGTCGGGTTCATCAGTAAGCTGCTATATTTTTATTTCGCCGCTGGTCTTTAAATATATTGCAGAAACCGTTTTAGACTTTTTATCGCTTCGAGGATTGCAGGATAATGAATATGACCTAGCCTTCTGTTTTGGATTTCCTGTTGAACTTGTTTCATTATCTCAAGCTTACCTACTTGGTTGGACAAAGGAATTTTCATGTGAAGCTGTTGTGGGTCAGGACGTTTGCAATTTGTTCCAAAAGAACCTGAATGCATTGGTATGGTAAACTGGATTTCTACCCATTTTTAAGGATCTGAAGGTGAAGGTAAAGGCGATTTTTAACGACACAGTTGGTGTGCTGGCTGCCTGTGCACTGAGAGATGCGGAATGTCGTATTGGTATTATTGTCAGTGAGTCGAGTTTTAACGTATTATAGCGCCAATATTATAAATTCCGCTTAGTGTTGCAGAACGTGTAGCTTGAAATTAAAAATTTTTGCTGCATATGTCCTCACTATATATGTATATATATGTATAATTTAGAAGTAGTTCAAGAACAACGCGCAAGCAAACTGTGGCATAAATGGAAGAAAAATAATGACAATAAGACAGGGGTGTTTTCGTGTTCCACACCAATTTTCGGTTTTTTACGTTTTTCTATTTAATGCCAGTTATTAGACCAGCCAGAAGAACAACACCAGCTTTACTAATGTCTGCTTTAGCACATAACATCTAATGATGGCAACAACTACGTTTCAGTTTTGCGTGGTTTCCAGTATGGCGGGCAGACCGGTAAGAATAAGGAAAGCTGTTAGGTCAACATTTTAGGCTTCGGTTCCGCTTTATTTCTTACGCACGGCGTCATTTCTTCTAGCTGCTTCTAGGAAGAGCAAATATTGCTTGACGGAAAGCTAATGGGTTACCACAAGTAGCCAAGCTAACGCATGCGGTGCAGGAGAATGACATTGTGGAGGCGAGCACTGTTCACTTGAAGCACTTAGTCACATACTAATATATTGTTTACGTAAAGTTGCTTACACAAGTAAGCAACACTGCAGATAACAACTGTCAAAATATGACAATGCTTTTATGTATTCTACACAAACAGTTCATGAGTAACTGTCGTAAACTAAGACGGCACATATTGAATCAATTTAAATTGGTCCACTCTGTTGGAGTCTGACATCCCAATGCTTCCATACTTGTCTAAAATAGAGGAAACTGTAGGTTTTTACAACATTTTGCATGGCTTTATTTCAAACATTACCGCTAGCCGTGACAAAGCTTCATAGACTAAGTGAGGAAGTAAACTTAGCCTACAAACGTAAACAGTACTTATTAGTACGAACACGTCTGCCTATCATTTTTGGAGCCACATTATACAACTGGTTGGGTGCGTGCGCAAGCCGTAATTGAATGCTTAGTTCGCATAGTAGTTCTAAATGTTTTGACTGCTTGTACAAACTCACTTACATATTCGAGACCGTCTGCATAATCCTTGTTCGCATACCTGTATTCAACGAGAGGTTTAACGCAGAATTTATAGCCATATTGTTCTGCTCATTGGAGAATTTTACCTTCAAAATATAATAAAAAAATTTAAATATTTAATTTAATTTAATTTATTATTTAAATATTATCTTAGGAAAAACTAATAGTGAAAACAAACAAAGACGAAAACCTGTACCATGCCACGTTTTTATCTGACATAGGACTATATAGTTTCATAAATTTCATAGGTTTTCGCAGAACGAGTAAGCTTTGCTTTTCAATGATTCCGCCTCAAACTTTTACGTCGGTGTCCTGCTGCTTTTGGCAGTTTTCAACTGTTTTAAATTGTGACCCGGTAGTAGTGTGGGTCACAGGTATCAAGCTTCTTGGTTATAGGGATCTGGCTACCTGGAAGAAAGGGACTAGTGTGCAAGTAAATGGCCGATGTTTGCTGTATTATTGCTTTGTACGTGAGGGCATAGACCTTGCAGTACGCGAGCAGAAAAGTGTCAGACAGCAGGACAGATCGGTACAGTTAAATAATAGCTACGTAAGAGGAGTGCCGCTAGCTAGTATGTCAAAAGTAGTGACCCTATCAGGTAGCTTAACGAATGGCCTAAGTGCTTTTTACCATGAAAGGCCATCAAGACAAGAACAAAGCATCTAGCCGTCCGTAGAAATTAGGAGTCACGATTAAAATTTACACATAATAATGTGCCTCGATGGGGAATTGAACCCCAATCCACGAATTTCCGGTCCGCTGCACCTAATCGTCAGCCCTCGGTAGCTCAGTGGTAGAGCAGCGGACCGAAAATTCTTGAACCGGCGTTTGATTCCCCGTCGAGGCACATTATTGTGTGTGAATTTTAATCGTGACTTCTACTTTCTACGAACTTTACACTACTCACAAACATTCACAATTCATCTAGCCGTCGCTTGAAGATCTATGTATTATGTACTGAAGATGTCTGTATTATGTGCGTGGAACCAGAAGACTAAATCATCAGGGGAGACGGAGAGCAAAATAATGCATTTGCTTGATCAACTATTATAATACATACTACCGGTTAATTATGCTAAAGTAACTTGGTTAGCTCAGCCAACATCCGCCTTAAGGTATTGGCCAACTAATTTGAATAACAAAGCCATTAGTTGAGATAAAGGATTTACAACCGTTGGACAGCAATGACTGATCACTCATCGCACACGAGTCGCAGATACCGATACTTCATGCCAGTGGCTTAGCACACCCGACATCAGAAGCGAAATCCGATTATCGGATTTCTCGCTGGTGCACAATTTCTTCATGGTAGCTAAGGAGCAGTGACCTTTTGGTGGAAAACCTGATCCGTTGCGTTACAATGTTGTTTTCTGTATGGGCAGCGTCCGTGAGCCAATAATTTTATCACGTCTTGGAACACACAGTTGCACCGGTTGCTGAAATAAGGACTTTCCTAGCCACTCAGCTGGCAATACGGAAAAATTGCTTGTTAAGTCACCGAAAGGAAAATTCTGTAACCATGATGCCCTTACTTAATCGTGAAACTATTGCAAATATATAAACCGTCCTATATGCACTTTTAGGAACTCTCGCCTTCAGTAATGATTGAGAAACAACATAATATAACCAAAGGAAGTAGTCGCTTAGACCTGCTTACATGGTTCACTATTTGTCCTTAATGAGTGACAACTGTAGCTAAATGATTGAAGTCCGTAGCGTATGCCGCAGGTATAAAGAGAATCTATTCCTAAAAACAATTAAACTCATTCTGTAAGAACGCGAGATGCAGACGAAACAGTTTGCTGTAATAAACAACGATACTAGCTGCATCCGATCTGACCAACAAACCTCCAGCTCATCTACGCGCGCTCTTACGAAGGTAGCAAGACACGTGTTGCTTCGGTCTCTACTGATTATTTGACTTTTATTGTGGATATGTTCACTCCTTGCGCGCATATGTCTGCGGCTCCAAAGCGTCCCATCCCTAACAGAGGGTTATTATGGCATGATGTTAGCTCCTTGCCGATTAGTTTTCTGGCACTTCCATACTACTCATAACCAGTTCAGTAGTGTCTGCCTTTACTCTGCACAGAGACAGACTGTATTTACGAGCAATTAGAAAAGTTTTTGTACAACTCTATTGAACTAGGCGAAATCAAAAGCATTTAGTTATGAATCATCAGCAGTTGTGTCTGGTTCGTTAATCGTTCATCCTTGTTCGGTTAGGAATTTCTACTAGTGTCATTATCTTCGGGCACACAATGTCTTCTTTTGGCACTGTATGTGCATCGTTTCAAAAAAGCACAGGTTTTCGAAATATAATCGTCGATACGGGTTTTAAAACACTTCATAGCATCGGCCCCTATTAACCCTTCTGGTAGTGTATTCCATAAGTTCACGATTCTTCATTCGAGACAAAGCTGATGTGATACTTTGTTTATGTTGGGGATCCTGAGTTTGTAACGATGTTCTCGGGTGTTACAGGGTTCCCGCAGGTGAAATATTGGTCGCAGTATGGGGAAGTGATTTAAGTATAGTACTCGATGTGTCATAATAAGATTAATTCTTACTCGGCGATAGGATAGTGTGTAGAGTCCGAGCCTTTCACAACGTTTTTTATACGGAAGCTTTTGTAGACTCGGTATCATACTAGTTGTGATATGCTGTACTTTCGCCAGCTTTTCAGTTTCCCATTGGGTTATCGGATGGGAAGCTGGGGCACCGTATTAAAGGATTGGTCTAATGAGCGAGGTGAATGGACGAGGGACGGTTTCTTCGGACCGTGTGAAGAAACTGCGTCTTAATGCCTACAACATACGAAATCTTGCACGATACAATTTCTCTATATCCCCTAGTGATCTCATATCACGTCGTAAGAGAACTCCTAAGTCTTTGAAAGATGTGTTGGGTTGGAGCAGCTGGCCGTCCAAAGTGTATGATCGAATGGCTGGACGTCTGGTGATACTAATGAACTCCATCTTGCTTGAGATAAGAAGGAATTGTATTTCAGTGGACCACGTTGACAGTCGCTCTAAGTCATGCTGGAGGAGAGTGCGGTCGTCCTGGTTCTCAATAATCCTCCAGCTTTTCAAATCATCTGCAAACAGGGCACATGGTGACTGGTGCTGCTGCGGAAGATCGTTGATATGAATAAGGAATAATCCTGGCCCAAGTGCAGTTCCTTGAGGCACGCCACTAGTCGATGGGAACCAGTCTGTCTGGTAGTCATTGACCTGTACTCTAAACTATCGTCCCACAACAAACTCGTGTAACCACATAAGTAACGTGCTACCGATTCCGTATATCCTCAGTTTACCAAGGAGTAGCTCGTGATTAGCTCTGTCAAACGCCTTTCTAAAGTCGATGTACACCACGTCAACATCCTTCCGTTCGTTGAGAACTCGTACCCACTGGCGGTTTGCGTACATCAAGTTGTTGATGCAGAATCGCCCTTTCGTAAAGCCCTGTTGCGCCGATGTCAACACGTCCATTGCTTCGAAGAAAGATAGCAGACAATTTTTCCAACATTCTCGAGCACTTTGGATAATGCTGAAGTCAAACAGATCGGTCTATAGTTCTCTATTTTACTGGGATCACCACCCTTGGGAAGCGGTCTCACTATCAAGCATTTCCAGTCGTTCGGGACAGATCCTTCAGAGAGTGCTTTATTGAATAAGTTTGTCACCGCTGGTGAGATGACAATCGATAGGGATTTGCGTATTAGTGGGTGAAGTCCGTCTGGTCCGGAGGGCTTTGTACCATCGAGGTTGACGAGTAGCTGATACACTCCGAGTGCATCACATTGTAAGCTGTTGAGCGAGACTGGCGCAACCTGTGCCGGTACTGAAACCTCCGGCGGTTTACTGAAAAATACAGTGAGGAAGTGCGTAGCTAAGGCGTCCGTGCGCTCCACGCTTGA